ACCTGGCTAGGTATATGTACCTGGCTGCTGAATCTGAGGACTGTTACAGGATTTTTTGTATTATATCCTAACTGTTTTTAGTACTTTTTAATGCATGTCACATGTGTGAAACTAAGCAAATAACTATGTGATTCTCCAATGTCAAAAGTGTGAAACTAAAAATAAAATTGGCTGCAACCACTTCCAGACTTTCTTTGAACTTAATGTGCAACAAATGTCATCATCCTCATGAATGAAGTTATATGGCCCATTCTACCGAGTCAGGTTGTCCATATATATTTTGTACCGTATTTATTTACACATATAGTAAAAGAACCGTACATTTTGATATGGTATTTTCAGACTGTATTGGCCACTAGCGAAACATAGTACATACACTGTAGTAAAAAACTATTATATTAACCTGTTAAGATTGTGTTACCTTCCCTTCTCTAAATAGTATTTTAACCAATATTTGAGGATTTTCAGTAAAAGTAATATAAGCAAATGTTGAATCAAAGTTGAATTTATACAATTCATAAAAATCATAATGCAAACTTTCTTTGTGAAATGCATAATACTGATCATATTGATTCCAGAGATGAAATAGAAGGGAATGAGGCTATAATGGGTAATTTTTTTGGTATTTTGAGCAAAACACTTCATAGACATGTTTTTTATATATCTGAGACTATAATATATGCCTAACAATAGTTTGGGCTTTACCATTAAGGCCCAATGTGACATATCACAGTTCAGATATTTGACACTAGGGGGGGGTTACTTTTCATAAATGTGGTGTATTTAGTTAAAATTAGGTTTACAAGGTGAAAAGGACTTACAGCCTCCCACACACTGATATAGATATCTCACTGACTGTAATGAGGGAGAAGGAAAGAGAGTGAGGAGAGTGCTAGCGGAGTACATTGACCCTTACATGAAAGACAAGACTGTTCTTTTATTTTAATAAGGTTTTTTATTAATAACATTATTTATAAATGTGTACACAGTAAAAGGGAAAAAAATACCTTACCTTTGCTAGCTAAAAAAAAAAGGCTTAAAAAAAAAGTGATTCTCCATTTGTACAAAGTCTGGTGGAGTTAAAAATAAAAATGTTTACAGACTTCCTTTGACCAAAAAGTGCTGTGAAAAAAAAAGAAGCTCACTGCTTTACTGCTCCTCCTCATCCAGTGACCGCCTGAATGAATATGGAGGAGATTGTTGCTGTGGGGTGTGTGGTACAGAGGGGTTTAATCTTGGTGTGGCCGTGTGTGGCCTTCGGGGTGGGTATGAGGGCACCTGGAAGTGTCCATATCCACTGTTGTTAGTATGAACTTGCATGAACTGGCTCATCAGGGAAAGGCCATTCTGTACAGTCACATTAATGTTGTCCATGGTGTTGTTCATACGATCCATGCTGGCTGCGCTGCGGCTGGTTGCTTCCTCCATTAAGTCCAACATCCTGCTTTTTAATCGCAGCTCTTCCTGCACCGCATGTTCAGCTGGAAGCTTCCTCTTCATGCGGTCACTTCTGTGGCCGTCCAGCCGTGCCTATAATAAACCAGAGAAAGTTTGAATTACTACACAATAGGACCATAGCCACCAGATAACAGAACACAAAAGGCATGTTGTGAAATAGCTCTCAATACATTTTACAAATAAAACAGCTCTAAATACTTTCTAATTTTACCAAGCTTAAACCAGTTCAGTTTTTCAGTGGAAGGTACTGCATCATAGTATATAGCAAGCCCTTTAAGATTGAAATCATGAACATACCTGGAGCAGATCCCTGCGATGACTCACAACCGCAGCAGTTGGCAGAGTTCCGTTGGATCTACTCGACTCTGGCAAATCCGTGGAATGCTCCAAACTCGGGGATGAACTTGGTCCGGGCGACGACTCTTCCATGTCGAACAAGTCCCCTTGTACCTGTTTTAGTTTCGCTGTAAGCTGGCCCTGTGAAATTGTGTTCTTCTCGTGAGGGAAATCTTTTTCAGTCGGGGTCCTCGGATATTGCGCCTGAAATAAGTCGGCTATCTCCGTATATTTAGGCTTGCAGGACTCCCAGTCTACATTATCCTGTACCGTCGTCTTATACTCAAGTGTTACACTTAAAAGAAGTTCCACCTCGTCGTCGGACCACGAAAATAGCTCCTTTCTTGCGCGAATAACAGCCATCTTCGTTTGTTTGTTTTGTTTGTGCCTCACACACATCCGGGGGGGATCTTACTCGCTGCTTTTGGTGTATTTTGTGGCGGAAGTTACAGCGCCACTTACAGTCCCGCCATATGTACTACAGCTTTCGAGCGGTCTCGTGTGGAAGTACAGCGCCACTTACAGTCCCAGCATATGTACTACAGAGTTTCCAGCGGCCTCGTTTGAACAGACACGTTAAATGAAACAAATGCATGTGAACGGAAGACTTTTTTGAATACGAATACTGTGCATAAAACGCAAACGGCCTCGTGTGAGCGGGGCCTTAGTGTGTGTTGCATGTGTTTTGTGGAGGCGGGACTAAGGTTTATGAGGGTCATAAATCACTCTCTTTGTGTAGTACTTAATCTCATTTTGACAAACAGTTGTCTTTCAACTACAGTCATGCAACGATTCATTCAGCCCGCAGGCTGTTTCTCATGGCATTTATATTACCATGGGAAAGTTCACTTTGGAATAACAACGGCAAGAATGTTTCTCTACATTTAATTAATTAATTTGTATTTTATGAAGGATCATTATTGCCGTGATTGCTCTATTAATTTAATTAAATCAGAATCAGAAATCCTTTATCTGTCCCGCAACTGGGACATTTACAGGTGTTACAGCCGCAAAGGTGCAGTGCAATAAGAAAAAGAGTAGACTTGTAGACTAGCCTGTTAAGCCCCAAGCCTGTTTTTCAGGTCTCAGGCTCGAAAATGAACTTTCCACAACAACTGACAATAACTTCATTTCTAAAAGGGGTAAATTAATAATCTTTTTTCTCAAAGTAATGATAAACCTGTGAGTTGGATGTAGAAAAGTCAGAATCAATATAGATGTTTTTTATTTAAAAAAAAATTCAGATTGAACCAACACATTCTCACTCCCAACTCGGCCTATGTTGACGTCAGGGTCCCTGTCGTCACTTTCCAACGCAAGGGGGGGCCCTTTAGCGTGGAGTTTCAACTATCAGGGAGTCCCATTGACTTGCATAGAGGTCCCTGAACGTTGGTAATAGACGAGTTGGGATCGCGGCGAAATGCTCTCCGCAGATCGATTCTCACAGCGTTTATCAACCTTTTTCTTACTCAATATCAAGCCACACTTATTGTTTTTACTTCTTTATTTTAATTGAATAATTTCGGGCTTTTGTTGCTGTCAGTTAGCGGGAGAGTACGAAGCTCAGAATACTGAAATCTGTATTGTTTCATCGTTTTTTCCTTCGAATTTTGTATTATTTTCTAAACCACACGCTGTTACGCCGCCTACACACGGCGGCGTGCGTTGCCACTTGGCGGTGGGCGTGTCTTGATACTTGTACATTTTGTATTTCTCTGTTATAGACCACACATACATATAGTCCAGGGCTGCCATCTTTAGAGTTCAGCTTGGAGTGAGATGACAATATTCGATTTTGGTACACTGATTAATTTTGTTGCTATTAATTGTGTATTGCACCTATTCCATTAACCTTTACTCTTTTCAGTGAAAATATTATATTTTGTACTGTTGATATGTGTCTATGAACTGTTCATGCTTATCTTTATAGTTGAATGTATTTTAATTACACTTAGACCTGTTTACATCCTACTATCTCGCAACTATAGCCTGTTGTGAATAAAGTTTAATTTCATTTACACCCAGTCTCTGTGGCCTGAAATCGACTATGGAGGATACATCAGTGTACCCTCGGTTAAAGCTCCTCCAGAGAGACTCCTCTCTCCTCTCTCTCCCCTCTATCCCCTCTCTACTCTCTCCTCTACATCAGTGTACCCTCGGTAATAGCTCCTCCAGAGAGACTCCTCTCTCCTCTCCCCTCTAAATCAGTGTATCCTCGGTTACGGCTCCTCCAGAGAGCCTCTGCGATAATCGATCCTTGACGAGCCTTTAGAGACATTTGTTTTCCTTCGAGGCAGCGCGCCGACATCCGTTTCCGGGTCGCTGCCGGAGGACCGAGGAGTCGAGGACGCAAGCATTTGAGAAATGACAAACAGCTCATTTCGGAGCACGTCGCCTTGACGCCGGGACGACCGGCGACCCTCCCCGACAGGCGCACAGACGCGAAGGCCCGCCCACAACTGCGTGCACGTCTGTGACCGCAGTTTTAATTTGGATTACTCTGCAAGAGTATACCGTAGTATTTTGGTCCATCCAGATTACATGTAAATAATTTTCTATATCGTAATTTATAATCTTAATCTTAATGTAGTACTTTTAAAAACAAATGTTTATCTCCTTTAACTGTGTTTTCAGTAACTCACCCAATACAGTCAGAGGAGTAGCCTTAACCTTTTCACTTTAAAAGTATATTTTTCTTGATTCATATGGACAGATGTTCTTGATTCATATGGAAAGATGTCAATAACATGTGCTTGCCTTTTTTATTCGATGTGTAATTCTACTCTTTTTCCTTCTGCACTGTAACTTGGCTGCTGTAACACCCGTAAATGTCCCAGTTGTGGGACACATAAAGGATTTCTGATTCTGTTGAAACATCATTAAAGGTGGGGTAGGTAAGTTTGAGAAACTGGCTCGAGATACACTTTTTGTTATATTCCATGGAATGCTCTTAACATCCCGATAGCAATGAATATCTTAAGTGCTTTGACAAAAAATCCATTAAAAAATGTCATCTGTGGAAGCCGTAGTACGTAGCCCGGCTTAAATAACTGGATGGCCTACCTGCCTGTCAGCCTTCCATCTGTGCACAAACTTATCGTGTGCCCTCATTGGTCATGTGCGCGTTCGTGTGTGTTGGAGGAGGGGCTCTGTAAGGAAGTGGCAGATTTTTTCCGGCTGTGTATTTTCAAATTCTAGCGCACTCAAGCTGGTTTCTCCAAAATTACCTACCCCACCTTTAAATTAATAGTATGTAATTGATGTACAATTACAACAGCAATGTGCTTGCTGTTGTTATTCCAAAGTGAACTTTCCCATGGGAATCTAAATGCCATCAAAAAAAGCCTCCGGGCTGAATGAATCGGTTCCTATAAAACCAGACGTTCCTAGAGCATGACCTACATTCTCGTGGAGGCAGCAACAGGTAAGAAGCTCTTTGTTCCAGTTAGACCCATAAAAAGAATACTAAAAGGATTTGCAAATAATTCGTTTAGAGTTATTATGTTTTTGTTTTGCATTGATTTGAGAAATGCAGTGAAAGTCAAGTGAAGAGAGTGAAAGGTAAATTACTGCTAAAAGGATGTTCTCTTTTATTTTGTTGATGTCATTTATAAGGGTAAACTATCAGAGTCGGCGGAGTTACTTGTACAATGTTACCCATTGCAATTATTTCATAACAAAATACACTATACAGTACATGTACTACTTGCTGAATGTAACCTCATTACTTTCTGTCAGTTTTGGATTAACTCAATATCCAATGCAATGCAAATAAATCCAAGAGAAAAAATGTAAAACTAAGATGTGTTAGGTTCACTCACCAGCAAAGTGTTGCTTTAACTGCACGCCTTCCTGCTTGTGTGTGTGTGTGTGTGTGTGTGTGTGTGTGTGTGTGTGTGTGTGTGTGTGTGTGTGTGTGTGTGTGTGTGTGTGTGTGTGTGTGTGTGTGTGTGTGTGCGTGTGTGTTGTGTGTGTGTGTGTGTGTGTGTGTGTGTGTGTGTGGTGTGTGTGTGGTGTGTGTGGTGTGTGTGTGTGTGTGTGTGTGTGTGTGTGTGTGTGTGCGTGTGTGTGTGTGTGTGTGTGTGTGTGTGTGTGTGTGTGTGTGTGTGTGTGTGTGTGGAAAGACAATGGGAGACACTGTTCTCTCAAAAACATTGATAAGAGTAAAGGGGTAAACTGTGACATGTAAAGAAACGATTTTCACTAACACTGGTACTTCATATTTCTACCAGATGTAAAGTTTTACATACATCAAAATGTAACTGAAAGTATCTTAGTAACACCAAAACAGCAAGAAATCTGTAAAGTAATCAAAAGAAACCTGCAATGTTTCACTGAAAAAGTGTTAAAAATCACAAACTGCCATTAAGGAAACCCCATTCCTTACAAAGTACTTCATATCCTAACAGATGTCAATTTTTACATACATCAAAATGTAACTGAAAGTATCTTAGTAAACACAAACAAATCATTGATGTTAACAAATACTGGATTGTCTTACTGAAAAAGTGTTAAAAATCACAAGCTAACCATTTAGAGTCACATTCTTAAAGAACATATATTCAGACAAAGCACTTATTATAAGCGTATCTTATGATCGCGTGCTGCAGTGGAAAAGCACCATTACAGTACCTTGGTGAGAGAATTAAGCAAAAATCAGTAAATGTATCAAAAAAACGACCTTGTTTCACTGCCTTAAAATCACAAACTGCCATTTAGAGTCACAGTTTGTGTGTGGGTGTGTTTTTTTGTGTTTGTGTGTGTGTTAGTGTGTGTTGCATGTGTTTTGTGGAGGCGGGACTAAGGTTTATGAGGGTCATAAATCACTCTCTTTGTGTAGTACTTAATCTCATTTTGACAAACAGTTGTCTTTCAACTACAGTCATGCAACGATTCATTCAGCCCGCAGGCTGTTTCTCATGGCATTTATATTACCATGGGAAAGTTCACTTTGGAATAACAACGGCAAGAATTTTTCTCTACATTTAATTAATTAATTTGTATTTTATGAAGGATCATTATTGCCGTGATTGCTCTATTAATTTAATGATATTCCAACAGAATCAGAAATCCTTTATCTGTCCCGCAACTGGGACATTTACAGGTGTTACAGCCGCAAAGGTGCAGTGCAATAAGAAAAAGAGTAGACTTGTAGACTAGCCTGTTAAGCCCCAAGCCTGTTTTTCAGGTCTCAGGCTCGAAAATGACCTTTCCACAACAACTGACAATAACTTCATTTCTAAAAGGGGTAAATTAATAATCTTTTTTCTCAAAGTAATGATAAACCTGTGAGTTGGATGTAGAAAAGTCAGAATCAATATAGATGTTTTTTATTTTAAAGAAAATTCAGATTGAACCAACACATTCTCACTCCCAACTCGGCCTATGTTGACGTCAGGGTCCCTGTCGTTACTTTCCAACGCAAGGGGGGGCCCTTTAGCGTGGAGTTTCAACTATCATATATACATATATTAAATATATAAAGGTGTGCTCTCCCTAGCTCTCTCTCTCTCTCTCTCTCTCTCTCTCTCTCTCTCTCTCTCTCTCTCTCTCTCTCTCTCTCTCTCTCTCTCTCTCTCTCTCTCTCTGTCTCGCTCGCTCTCAGAGGCTGTGTGCTCCTCCGTGGCGATGACGGCTTGCGTTAAAAAATAATAATAAACATATTTGTAAAGTGGGGGGACACAAACGGGATTTCGAAAAGAGCGGGGGACATTTCCCCCCTGTCCCAGGTGGTAATTAATATATATGCAAGTTGCAACACACAGAGTAACACTCTGCCCCTCATGTGTTGTATAGGCTGGCATGATAGGCTGTTCAATGGGGCTGATGTGTTGTGTAGATTCTGCCAGAAGGAAAATCAGCGGGGAGGTGCCACATTGCTTTTCTTCCCGACTGCAACGCTGGTCCCGCAAATCAAGCAAGAACGTGATTGGTCGATATTCATTGTGGGGGTGGGGGGAGGAGGGATAGAGTTGTAGTAAGTAGATAGAGTTCGCTATGATTTAGGTTTCGTTTAAGCATAGGGTAGATTCTTTTAATTACATTTCCTTTTTTGTTTTGTGTATTTTATACATTTTGGATTTGCTTGGCAAGCTATTTTTAGAACATGCCCTGCGGGCGACTCACGTTGCCCCTGCGGGCGACTAAGTGCCCGCGGACACCGTGTTGGCTACCCCTGAACTGAACTCTGGGGCTAACTCCCTCTATCATTTGTTCTTACTTTGGCCATCTTGATTTAAACTAGTTTGCTTATTTTGTTCTAGTTAATTGATTATTTTGTTTGACTGAACCTTTTCTCTTGTGATTTGTTTTATTTTAAGTGTCTATACAAGTTTTTATCATCTTTTGTTCATGAGAACATATTTGATATTGTGTTTGTTTGTTTGTTTGTTATTTGATTTACGTATTGTAACATCTTGGTGAATACAAGATCTTTGATTACGGAGATCACGTTAATGACGTAATGCATGTGTGCATGTTACGCGCCAGTTGAATAAAGATGGACACTCGGAATGTCACAAGTAGTCCGCTTCATCTGTTTATGTAGACACTTATATGTCCATAGAACAGAATATTACATGGTGTCAGAGTTAGTTCAGTTATCATCGACCTGACGACGGAAGATGGAGAACACAGGCGTTCCAACACCACGAATGGACTGGGACTCGTCTAATCTGCCGGACGCATGGAGAAAATTGCGTGAAAAACTGCTATGTCACAGTCCAGACTTGACGCTAGAGAAAGCCATTGACATTGCACGTTCACATGAGCTATCACAGCAGCAGCTAAAGACAATGCTAACCCCCGCTGCTAGCCACGACAGTCGCTCTGCTCACGCAGTTAGCAGAAAACCTTTTAGAGCAGACCAAGCATCCCGTGGGCACAAGACGACATGGAATGATCGTAACAGCACCGTGAGGAGCAAGGAATGTGGAGCATGCGGGAGGGAGCACAGTCGCACTGAGGAATGTCCAGCAAAGGGTCGCCAATGCAGCAAATGCAATAAGCCCAACCACTTTGCTAAAGTGTGTAGGTCACAAACACAGCAGCCACAGACGAGATATAATCCCAGAAAATTGCATACCATCTCAAACAGTGCCGAACAGTCACTAGAAGAACCAGAACTCTATATTGATGCTATCATAAAAGAGCATGAAAACACAGATAGAGAACAGGCATATGCAGAAGTAGAAATAGGAAAAGCGAGGCACAAACTGAAGTTTAAAATGGACACTGGTGCTCAGACTAGTATTATACCAGCAGACACATTCCGCGAGATATATGGAAGTGTAATACTAGGCCCCCCATCAAGCAAACTCTCAGATTATGGTGGGCACAGGATAAAAGCAGAAGGAAGATGTAGGCTGACATGTAAACACGGTGAGAAAACAGCCATGATAGGTTTTGACATAGTCCATACAAATGCTCCACCTCTGTTAGGCTTAAGAGCATGTCTAGATTTAAACCTAGTCAAAATGATACATGTAGTTGATGCAAAGCCGATAACACACACAACCATGATGGAAGAGTTTGCTGATGTGTTTGAAGGCATCGGACTGTTTCCTGGAGAATGCAGTTTCCAACTCAAACCCTCTGTACCACCAGTGGTATGTCCACCTCGTCGCATCCCATATGCTCTGCGTGACCGGCTCAAGAATGAGTTGGACGACATGGAAAAACTGGACGTTATCCAAAAGTCACAGAGCCAACTGAATGGGTTAATGCACTAGTAGTGTTGGAAAAGCCGAAAACAAATAGGCTGAGAATATGCCTAGACCCCCGCGCCCTGAACAAAGCCATCCAAAGACCCCACTATCCACTCCCTACTCTAGATGACGTCACACCAAAACTGGCTGGAGCACAGTATTTCAGTGTACTAGACGCCAGATCTGGATACTGGAATATAAAACTCACACACGACTCATCTATGCTAACCACGTTCAACACGATCTACGGCAGGTACCGTTTCAAGAGACTGCCTTTTGGAATCATATCTGCACAGGATGAGTTCCAGAGGAGAGTGGATGAGGCCTATGAGGGGCTTCCAGGCGTTGCCGCCATCGTAGATGACATCATAGTCTACGGCCGCACCAAAGAGGAGCACGACGCTAGCCTGCGTGCCATGCTGGAGAGAACCAGAGAAAAAGGCATAAAGCTGAATCAGGACAAGTGCAAAATCTGTGTGCCTGAGGTAAGCTATTTTGGGCACAAGCTGACACGAGAAGGCATCCGCCCTGACCCGAACAAGATTAAGGCCATCAAAGAAATGCCTAACCCACAAAGTAAGGCAGAGTTGGAGACCATACTGGGCATGGTCACTTACCTTTCCAGGTTCGCCCCGAGAATGTCAGAGGCAACAGCTCCACTCCGGCAACTGATAAAGGAAAACAGTGAGTTTGTGTGGGACTCAAATCATGATGCAGC